GATGAATGGAGACGTAGATCCGGTGAGGAGCGGTCTAGAGGCGAAGTCAGGCGAGTGAAGGTCCCAGAACGAGAAGTCAGCACGAGGAGGCGAGGATACATAAACCAAGGAGCGGGACAGGAGCAAGGAATGCAAAAACAAAAACTGGACAGGAGGGGAACTAGAAAAAGAACTCATGAAAAAGAAACAAAACACTACAAGGGAAACCGAAACCGAAAACTATGAGCGCTGGATAACTACTTGCAGTAAAACTGTGTTCGACTATCTGGCACTCACCCTGTGTGCAGGTCAGGATTATAAAGGGTGAAGCGACAGGTGCATTTAATGAGAGGTAATCAGTGCAGAGTGTGCTGGAGAGAAGACAACCTTAAACCCACATGCAGCCAGAGGAGAGGAGATCAATGAGTGCTGCAGAAAACAGAATCACAACCCCAAACATAAATAAAAAGAGGAAGGTAAAGAAAAGAAGGTTTACAGACACCAAGCAGTGAACAGAGTGAAAAAGATTTGACTCGAACAGGCGTGAATCGTGACAAATAAAGAACCTTGACAAAGCAGAACATTAATTTAATTTGATCCAATTTGATTGTTTGAGGCACCACCCTGTTGAGTGTTGAACATTAATAAGCATCTGCATCAGACACCGTATAGCTATTCATTTTTACAAGTTGTGTCTGTAAAAAATATCTCACTAGTATGGGTGCCAGTGGTTCAATGCCAAAGGTGTCCTTTTTTCCCCCCACTTGAGCACCTGCCCCACAAAATATCTGTGCACACCACATATTTCTGTCTGTCTGGCAACCTCCATTTAAACACGTTCTGATATAATCCCCACCCACACTCTGACTGACAGCTTTGAAGGGGTGAAGGGAACCTGTGATAAACCCCGCCTTTATTATGTGACTGACAGCTGTGAAGGGGTGGAGATCTGTGACAATCCCTGCCTCATTCTATGACTGGCAGCTGTGATTGGGTGGGCGGAAAGCAGATCCTGATGTGTCTGAGTCAAATCCAATAATCCACTCAAACAACAGACTGAGGGACACAGGGAGGAAAAAGACAGACCCTTGTCTTCAACAACAGAGACACCTGCACAGGTACAATCCTTTGTATCTTCTGGGAAATGTTCTATTCATCATCTCCATCATGAAACTATGAAGCACCTTGGTGACAGGGCCTCTGACAGATTATGACGACTTGTAGGTGAACGGATTTTTTTAGAATGGACTATGATTAGATCAGGATTAGCTTCTGGAACTGGACTCAGTCTGGTTTTGTCTTTGTTCAGGTCGTGAGAGGAACGGGACCTGCATGTAATTCTTGACTTCCTGCTGGTACCGGTGTCAAAGATCAGCCTGCTCACACCTAGTTTATTTGGTGTAGTCTGTTTAGTAACAGGTCCTGGTCCAAACAGTTGTGATGGGTGCACCTGAAGGTCAGAGAAATCGATATTTACCATAAAAAACTGATCCTGATGTTGGGGTTTTGAATGAGCGTCTCCTCCTCTACTCCAAGGTTTGCCATGTGAGGACATCCAGTACAAGTACCTGACAGGTATGTCCCCACATTAACACAGCACAATGGTCAGAATTGCAGGTCTGTAATTCTTCAGGTCCTCAGCAAAGATCAGAGACACCGGTCTAATTCTTCAGGTCCTCAGCAAAGATCAGCGATGCAGGTCTGTAATCCTTCAGGTCCTCAGCAAAGATCAGAGACACAGGTCTAATCATTCAGGTCCTCAGCAAAGGTCAGATACATGGGTCTGTAATTCTTCAGGTCTTCAGCAAAGATCAGAGACACAGGTCTAATCCTTCAGGTCCTCAACAAAGGTCAGATACATGGGTCTGTAATCCTTCACGTCCTCAGCAAAGATCAGCGACACAGGTCTAATCCTTCACGTCCTCAGCAAAGATCAGCGACACAGGTCTAATTCTTCAGGTCCTCAGCAAAGATCAGATACATGGGTCTGTAATCCTTCATGTCCTCAGCAAAGATCAGCAACACAGGTCTAATCCTTCAGGTCCTCAGCAAAGATCAGTGACGCAGGTCTAATTCTTCAGGTCCTCAGCAAAGATCAGGTATATGGGTCTGTAATCCTTCAGGTCCTCAGCAAAGATCAGGTACATGGGTCTGTAATC